GAATGTCATTGGTGTAGCTTATCTGTTGGTGAGTAAGATATCATTGGTGTAGCTTATATGTTGGTGAGTAAGATTTCATTGCTGTAACTTATCTGTTGGTGAGTAAGATGTTATTGATGCAACTTATCTGTTGGTGAGTAAGATGACATTGCTGTATCTTATCTGTTGGTGAGTAAGATGACATTGATGTAACTTATCTGTTGGTGAGTAAGATGTCATTGATGTAGCTTATCTGTTGGTGAGTAAGATGGCATTGATGAAACTGATCTGTTGGTGAGTAAGATGACATTGATGTAACTTATCTGTTGGTGAGTAAGATATCATTGATGTATCTTATCTGTTGGTGAGTAAGATGACATTGGTGTACCTTATCTGTTGGTGAGTAAGATGTCATTGATGTAACTTATCTGCTGGTGAGTAAGATATCATTGATGTATCTTATCTGTTGGCGAGTAAGATGACATTGAGGTAACTTATCTGTTGGTGAGTGAGATGACATTGGTGTACCTTATATGTTGGTGAGTAAGATGGCATTGATGTAGCTTATCTGTTGGGGAGTAAGATGTCATTGATGTAGCTTATCTGTTGGTGAGTAAGATTTCATTGCTGTAACTTATCTGTTGGTGAGTAAGATGTCATTGATGTAACTTGTATGTTGGTGAGTAAGATGACATTGCTGTATCTTATCTGTTGGTGAGTAAGGTGACATTGATGCAACTTATCTGTTGGTGAGTAAGATGACATTGATGTAACTTATCTGTTGGTGAGTAAGATGTCATTGATGTAACTTATCTGTTGGTGAGTAAGATATCATTAATGTATCTTATCTGTTGGTGAGTAAGATGACATTGGTGTAACTTATCTGTTGGTAAGTAAGATGTCATGGATGTAACTTATCTCCTGGTAAGTAAGATGACATTGATGTAACTTATCTGTTGGTGAGTAAGATGGCATTGGTGTAGCTTATCTGTTGGTGAGTAAGATGTCGTTGATGTAACTTATCTGTTGGTGAGTAAGATATCATTGGTGTAGCTTATCTGTTGGTGAGTAAGATGACATTGCTGTAGCTTATCTGTCGGTGAGTAAGATGACATTGCTGTAGCTTATCTGTTGGTGAGTAAGATGTCATTGATTTAACTTATCTGTTGGTGAGTAAGATATCATTGGTGTAGCTTATCTGCTGGTAAGTAAGATGACATTGATGTAACTTATCTGTTGGTGAGTAAGATAACATTGGTGTAGCTTATATGTTGGTGAGTAAGATGGCATTTGTGTAGCTTATCTGTTGGTGAGTAGGAGGTCATTGCTGTAGCTTATCTGGTGGTGAGTAAGGTATCATTGCTGTAATTTTATCTGTTGGGGAGTAAGATATCATTGGTGTAGCTTATATGTTGGTGAGTAAGATGTCATTGCTGTAGCTTATCTGTTGGTGAGTAAGATATCATTGGTGTAGCTTATCTGTTGGTGAGTAGGATGTCATTGCTGTAGCTTATCTGTTGGTGAGTAAGGTATCATTGCTGTAATTTTATCTGTTGGGGAGTAAGATATCATTTCTGTAACTTTATCTGTTGGTGAGTAAGGTATCATTGCTGTAGCTTATCTGTTGGAAAGTAAGATGACATTGGTGTAGCTTATCTGTTGGTGAGTAAGATGTCATTGGTGTAGCTTATCTGTCGGTAAGTAAGATGACATTGATGTAACTTATCTGTCGGTGAGTAAGATGACATTGCTGTAGCTTATCTGTTGGTGAGTAAGATATCATTGCTGTAATTTTATCTGTTGGTGAGTAAGATATCATTTCTGTAACTTTATCTGTTGGTGAATAAGGTATCATTGCTGACGTTACTTTATCTGCTGGTTAGATAGTATTACCCGTGTAATAAGATAGCACCGTAATAAAAACCCAGTCATTATAGTAAATACGAAACTGTTACATGTATAGTTGAGTACCGTATCCTTCCTTGGGCGCAGATGTATTGAAATTGCCCTATTTCACTTGGTCTACAAATAAAACTTATAGAAGTGTATGCAGTTGTGATTTTTTTGCTCCGTATGATGTACATGATGCCACGGTTTTACTTGCAGCTACGGATACCTGGGACAGTATCGGTTTTCCCTCGGCAGACGTCATGGGCTTCTTCATAAGAGGTACAATGCATTTTATATGGATGATATTTAGAGGTTTCCCGTTGGATACCATTTTCATGTTTCAATCGTACAGTATGGCGGAATATTGAAAAATTCCCACAGGTGCGCCAGCCTGAAGGAGAATATAAACACATATACTTTGACAAACGAATGAAGTACTGATGATACTCGGCGAGGATCTATTTGTGTTCAATTTATTACATTTTCATAACTTTAAGTGAAAGAATTTAGCAAACAACGGAATTGCTTCAAAACGTCAAAATACTTTAAATTGTTCTGCGGGACCTCAGTTTATGACGTCATATTTCTATGGACGACACCAATCTTCCTGTTTGGGTATTTTATTTCATTGATTTATGATTCTGATTTAAATTCCGATTAAATTGAGTCGCTGCCCCCATTGCAATACTTGGGATTTGTATCTTTCTTCTATTGATTTCCCTACCTGTCCTTCCGGTGGTGTCTCTCTCGGCATCCGTCTTCATATGACTGCAACAGCCACAGTCATATGAAGACGGATGCCGAGGAGACGTTTAGTCATAAACAAAAATATCCTATGAAAAACAAAACATGTACAAAGTGTCATACGCGTGGGTCTGTGGCATAACTACGTCTTAGAAATTGTGTTTCAATCAGGGTTCATGGCTTTTCTCATCGGTTGACGCTACTTTACTGCATGCTGTCGGGTTCCACTTATTATAAAATTATTTTACATTTTACACATACAGATTTTGTTGTAATTTTTATTCTTTATTTACGAATTAATTGTTTTTCAATATTTTTCTGAAATAATTAAGTGCTAAAAATCATTTATTAAAAAATCAGTGATAACGATCCGACGTCTGACCAACAACGGCCCGCAATCGGGAACCGTCGGCACTTTCCGTAAACGAGAAATCGTTTACGGAAAGTCGTTTACGGAAAATGCCGACGGTTCCGATTGCAACGGCCCGTTGACGGCACTTTAAACCGATAAGACATCGGCGTGATATCCGCTCGCTGGATGGGATAGTAATCTGAGGACTGGAGTTTGGGTCCTGGCCCCATGGCATTTTTACTCTCCGTTAACTGTTATAGATTTTCCATGAAAAGTTCGGCAAGGTATTGGATTCTTTTCAGAAACATGTTATCAAATATATTGTCATACTGGAGAGAAAAATCCAGTTCATCCGAATTTTTGGCAGTGGCATGAGAATGCTCTATTAAGCCTGGATCGTCTATACATGATTAACAACTAATGGATCTTAAATAAATCATAGGGACACCTAGTTGAATTTCAAAGACATAAAAGCCCCATTTGACAAACAAATTCCAATCGTAAATTATGAATTATCATTTTTGAAAAACAAGACTAAATATGTTCTTGTCAGGTTGGTTTCCTGTGATGAAGGTAGCGTACGGACAGTCCATTTCTCCCGCCTCTACAATCTACGATCTCTGGAGGTATACTTCTACATCTTACAACATCAATGAATTTGAAGAAAGCGCGTACTCTATTCAATCTGGCACCCCGTCTTACAGGTCCCGGATCTTGAGCTCCTGGACCAGCTACTACATTCGTGCGGTAGGTCAAAGTACGGGTTGAGTCACAGCATTCTCAAATTCCCAGGGGCTACGCTCTTATTTCCTCTGTACCCCTGGAATATGAAATGACAAAATCGAAGGCATTCAATTTACTATTTCATTGTTTACTGCCTGGTGTAAACTAAAAACAAACAAGAGGCCATCCGTAAGGCTGAATAGTACAAAGGAGAGACTTTCAAATAAAAGGCAGTCGACTTTACCGCTGCGCTACCGCGCGATTCGCTTGATGTATATCAATACATCAAACCATTCGACATGAAATATCTAAAAGATGGCCCATGCAGAACTTTCAATTTTGTCATATTTTCTAGCGCAATTAGTACACGCTCGCTACTGTATTTTCCACAATAATTATTACAAGGTCAGTACATTTTTTTGACGGTATCTTTAACTCGATGGCTACTTTTTTTCTATCCAGATACATTAAGGTCGCTACGTTATTTTTCGTCTTTGTTTATTTACAACGCGTTCGCAAAGATCTTTTCCACTGTATTTTGAACACGGTCGATCCGTTATTTTCCACCGTAATAATTGAACGATGGCTAGAGTGGTTTTTTTATATTAAAATACATTTCAGGTCGCTACGTAAATTATTTTTTTGGAATAATATAGGATTGAACAGCAGGCTAGGCCTATTTAAGTTCTCTCCTTAGGTTGACATGACAAAGACAAAGATGAAACGGTAAGAAAGAAAATATTGATGCAGATTATATATTATAAGTAGCATAAATCCCCAGTCTACATATAGCAGATGGTATAGGGGAGATAAATCCATGTATGTTTCAATTATATAAATATTTAATTGATATTTTGAGCTATACAATGCTTTTATTAAAAAGTCAATCAGAATTAATTAGGAATAGGCAAGCAATGCCCTAATGATATATTAAACTGAAAAATTGCTACAATTTTATTTTCATTTTTATGCAAGTCATTAATGCCCCCTGTTCATACCCTGCTGCTGTTACACGAAGTAGTTAAAATATCATTGGTAGGAGTGATAAAAAAAAGTAAGGGATGCACCAACAACAAAATATAAAAAAAATAAAAAAATAAGGCAATTCAGCTAGAAGATTTTGAAAATGTAGTATATGTGTAAGATGTATTGCCAGTGTTCTATGTGTAAATCTTTCATCCTATCGAACTTCAGACAAAAAGTCTCTAACGGCCTCTACCGTTCACATATCATTCACTCGAGAAACTTAGCACATTTTTGTTTTACTTTATTGCACACATCAGTAAAAACAGCACCAAAGCTTTATCCTTTAGGTGTAAAGTATAAACATCAATGTATATATAGCAATCAGTTGAATCACATAATGGTTTAAGGACAGTATTTTTTTATCAATTATGACTATATATATCAAAATTTATAGATTGTTTTGATTAATTAAACAAGTCTTTTTGTGCTGTTTATAGAATCTACCGACTGTTGTCAGGTTCCCATACATTCAACAAATAAATTCACGCCTGGATTCTTCACAAAATAAGCAAAGAGAAAAGTTCGAACCAAAAGTAACTCCCGCGTGGAGGGCAAGGTCGGATTTACGGTGTTCATTGTATTTGTCCATGCGCGAAATTTGTTCCGGAGAAAAATCGAAACAATTTCAAATCTAACTTTCAGCTCAGAGTTCTATCGATAAACTAAATCACCCTATAGACATATCATACGCAATTGCATTGATACTGAATTGTGGAATAAAATTTTGAAGTGTTTGTTAAAATTTCAAAGTACTACTTTGTTTGCCAATCAGCACGCGACAATACGCTGTTCAAACTATAGAACGAAATTGTTTGGACTGTCGATAAGGCGGGCATTTTTAATTTTAAATATAAATTATAAGTTAAAAAAGAACATAAGAGGCAGAGAAAACGTAGCGCGCATTATGTTGTTTGCTTGCAAAGCTGTGTCATTCAAATAGATCATAAATACCATACAAAAACAGTTCAATGCTTAAATATATATATTTGAATATAACATTTTCTAAGATTTTACTAAAACATGATGTTACAGATATTGGTCGATAAATGGAATAATTATTTTTTAAACCATTCCCTTTGTATACAGCACTAACATTAGCCATCTTCCATGGCCCAGGTACATTACATACGTATGCACCCGTTAGATATAGTTTCGTTAAATATATTTTAAGTGGGAGTATTAAGGAAGGTTTTAACTTTTGTATGACTTTAGGTTACATGCCATCAGGTCCTGATGGTTTATTTTCATTTAATATACATGTAGTAATTTGATCATCAACTTCTTGTTTAGAGACTATTATGTTTTCTAATTTTGATAGAGTGTAGATATCTAATACATGAGGTTCAGCAGGTGTATCTGATGTTGTGGTTATAGACGTAAACTATTCATTAAGGGCTTGAGCTTTATCAGTTGGATCAGTGTTTTATTAACATTCAGTAAGGGAATTGGTTCAGTTTTTTTGTTGAAATTAGTTATGGATTTAGAAATTTTCCACCATTTATCAATGTTTTATCACTAAGAGACTTTTGAAATATTTTTTGGAATACAAGATGCATTCAAGATTGCTTCGTTATACACTGTACTTATTCATTTGTATAACAGGTGCGAGTGTCTTTCATCAAGAGTGGAAGCGAGGCTGCCTTCGCCGTGTTTGACGCGCATGCGTCAGAACTAACTGACTGGATGTCCTGTAGTAACCGTCTACTTTACAGCAGTTTCACGGATCTCAACAGAGACACCTCAACCACATTTTGTAGTATAGTAGGGTAAGTGAGTGGATAATCGATCTCAGCAGTTACCCCCGAAAACAAGTGAAACTGATATGCATGTGCAACAGAGTTATCTCCCATCGTCTGTGTACCATCTACACAATGATTTCACGAGAGTTACCTCCCTTTGTCAGTGTAATATAGACACAGCGATCTCACCAGAGTTACCTCCATTGTCAGTGTAATATAGACACAAAAATCTCACCAGAGTTACCTCCCATTGTCAGTGTAAAATAGACACAGCGATCTCACCAGAGTTACCTACCATCGTCAGTGCAACATAAACACAGCGATCTCACCAGAGTTACCTCCCACTGTCGGTGTAATATAGACACAGCGATCTCACCAGAGTTACCTCCCATTGTCAGTATAATATAGACACAGCGATCTCACCAGAGTTACCTCCCATAGTCAGTGTTATATCTATATATCTCACGTGATTTAAAGGGGCTATTTAGTCAAATGGCACCCTTAAAATCGAGTAGATACTGAACATATATATATTATAACAAAAGTGTACGGAAAATGACATGACCTGAAGCCGACGTACAGTGTGGTTAGTTTTGTCGCTTGGGAAAGCCGATGATACAAATAGCTACGACCAAAGTAGCGCAATATCTCGGCCTGTCAGTGAGAAATAAACATATACAGTACAACGCTGTCGACCAACAACACTGTGTTATTCCGTGTGATTTCACACATAACACATTCTTGTCGCTTTGAATTGACACAATACATCGCTTCACTTAATTATTTACCTACACCAGGCATGGCACTAGGTACAGAAACCCTATCACATCATTCCTATAGTTACAGAAACAAAGATACAGCAATACCAGCAGAGTTCATTCTATGTAAGTGGTAAACAAGATGGAATTGATCTTAAACACAAAGGTTTAATACATGTATACTTATATGGAAAGTGCAAAAAACATCTCGGGTTTTATCATCGATATGACAGGGTCTTAATTAAATAGCAATACGTTAACCTTATATTTAATGGGACAGAAATACGTAAACCTGGTGTTCAGTGAGACAGTTTTACGTAAACCTGGTGTCCAAAGGGACAGTAATACGCAAATATGATGTTTAATTGGATAGTAATACGTAAAGGTGATGTTCAATTGGGTAGAAATACGTAAACCTGATGTCAAATGGGACAATAATACGTAAACCTGTTGTTCAATGGGACAGTCATACAAAAATGTGATGTTCAATTGAACAGTAATACGTACACCTGATGTTCAACGTGAGTTATGCGTAAAACTGACGTTCGATGGGAGTAATACGTAAACCTACTTTTTACTGGGACAGTAATAAGTAAACATGATGTTCGATGGGACAATCATTCGTAAACCTGATGTTCAATCGGACATTAATACGTAAACCTGATGTTCACTCAGACAGTGTTACGTAAACATGATGTTCAATGGGACAGTAATACGTAAACATGGTGTTCATTGGAACAGTAATACGTACAGCTGAAGTTCAACCGGACACGTAAAACTGATGTTCAATGAGACAGTCATACGTAAAACTGATGTTCAATGGAACAATAAAACGTAAACCTGATATTCAATGGATCAGTTTTAAGTATACCTTTAATTATGTTCAATGGGACAGTTTTACGGAAACATGATGTTCAATGGGACAGTAACACGTGAAACCTAATGTTCAATGGGAGTTTTCGTAAACTCTATGTTCAATGGGACGGTTATACGTAAACCCGATATTCAGTGAGACAGTTTTATGTAAATCTGATAATCCTTGGGACAGATATAAGTACACCTTATATTCGGACAGTCATACGAAATTGAGCAGTCTTTTCAATTTTCAATCTTTTCAGCAAATATCTTAACATATTACTTCATATACAGTTCAATCATTTAACAAATATTTGAAATTATTTCTTTACCCATATCTATTTTTATCTTCAGTTATGATAAACAGAGTTTGACAACATACATTGCAAATACATTTTAATTTTTCAGAGACAGCAGTTATAGCAGACGTTTTTTTGCTGAGAAACAATACAATGGCTGTAATGAGGATGAAGGCTGGTTCGTGGTTTCTGATTCTTCTGGCTCATGCAGTTGGGAAAGCCAGTATTCCAGCCCCTTCGTACTTTACAGCGATGCAGGAGTATCGGAGGCTAATATATGTAAGTCTTTCGCTGATGTTGTCAAAGCCTAGTTCAGGATCACTGCCCAACCGCTGGCAAAACACTAGAGAGTTCCACTGTTTTTAATTTTCGTATAGAGTAACCTCCCCTTATTTCTTACTTGAGCTAAGGACACATTTATCATCTGCAAAGTATCCAAACTTAGAAGTGAAGAAGACGTTAACAAACAACAAACCAGGACACGTCCTTTAACAAGGTAGCTCATGATCAGTTGGTAAACTGACAGTAAACCTATCTGAGTTCCAGTGTTCGTAAAATTTGTCAATTTCCAAAGATTTATTTACACCTGAAACACTGTTGTTGTTATATTTATTATTTTCATAATTTATGAAAGTCCTGCAAGGTATGGTTATCTTGACAGACATAAATTATAAAAGCTATAGTTATGCGGGATAAAAAAAAACCCACTTCCAATGTATAGTTCAGTTTTTGGCAGTGGTACGGGGATTCCAGTTTAACAGATTACCCCCAAAGTGAGAATCTGTATTGGCTTAAAAATGGAAGAGAGAATAACATATTCGGCTCCAGGATGAAGATATGTACCACATTTTGTTTTCTCATTTTTTCTTAACGCGACTTTTCCTTCGCGTTATCGTGAGAAGAAATACTCTGGCTGATCATTGCTAGATCGTTATGAAGAATAATCTGACTGATCAATGTTGTGTGATCTTTAGAAAGAACACTCTGACTGATCATTGTAGGATCTTTAGATGTAATATCTATCTATTCATTGCGTGATCGTTCGAAGTAATACTCTGACTGATCATTGCGTGACCTTTAGAAGTAAAACTCTGACTTGTCATTGCGTGACCTTTAGAAGTAAAACTCTGACTGATCATTACGTGATCTTTAGAAGTAAAACTCTGACTGATCATTGCGTGATCTTTAGAAGTAAAACTCTGACTGATCATTGCGTGATCTTCAGAATTAACACTCTGACTGATCATTGCGTGATCGTTAGAAATAATACTCTAACTGATCTTCAAAGCGCTTCATGTTATAGAATTAATACTCTGACTGATCATTGATGAATACTCTGACTGAATATTGCAGGACCTTTAGAGGTAATAATCTAACTAATCATCACATGATATTTAAGATGATATCCCCAAACATTACTAAAGGAAAAATCAGGAGATATAACAATGCCTGATCATTACACGATGTTATTGATTAATGTATAAGGATGCCACTGAGTGACGTAATGCGTTTCTCTTTCTATTTTTAGATCAACAACTGGCCGATGTATTTCTTATATCAGTTGGTGAGTAATAAGAATTATCGCATATTGTATTTTCATATTCACTGGAAATGAAAGGAAACACCATTCTTAAATTATACATTTAGCATACCGGCCATGTACTGTTTTCAGCACCTTCGTTTATTTATTTATTTTATTTATTCCAGCGTTTGATGATTTCTGTAACTTAGTTACATGTCAGAATGGGGGAACATGCTACGAAAGAGGAACTCGATTTGAATGCGTGTGTGCCGGTGATTATTACAACATTGACTGTGATGATTGTAAGTAACAAAATGCACGTGTCGTTCACATTCTGACTGTGACTATATGTAACAAAATGCACGTGTCGTTCACATTCTGACTGTGATTATATGTAACAAAATGCACGTGTCGTTCACATTCTGACTGTGACTATACGTAACAAAATCCCGTTTCGTTCACATTCTGGCTGTGACTATAAGTAACACAAGTCACGTGTTGTTAACATTCTGGCTGTGACTACAAGTTACACAATTCACGTGCCGTTGACGTTCTGGCTGTGACTATAAGTAACACAATTCACGTGTCGTTGACGTTCTGGCTGTGACTATAAGTAACACAATTCACATGTTAACATTCTGGCTGTGACTACAAGTAACACAAGTCACGTGTCTTTAACATTCTGGCTGTGACTATAAGTAACACAATTCACGTGTCGTTGACGTTCTGGCTGTGACTATAAGTAATACAATTCCCGGAGTATTCACCTCAAGATTACAAGTAACAAAATCCTGGGGTTATTCACATTTTGATTGTAAGTTATAGGATGCACGGATTGTTTATATTTCGAATGTGACTGTAAGTACCAAAATCCACATGTTGTTCACATTCTGATTCTGTAGGTAACAAAATCCACATGTTGTTCACATTCTGATTCTGTCAGTAACAACATCCACATGTTATTCACGTTTTGAATTTAAAATGCATGCAGGTTTGTTTAGGTATTTGCCGTATAATTCCGAGGACGCCGTTTGAGGTCGATATTTCTCTATCAGGTCTACATACAAATGTTACAACGTATTAACCGAAACGGAAGTTCTTAATGTTTATTTTACACATCGTGTCACTAGATAACATGATATGTTATGAACAGATTATTTCACATGTATCGTGATTCATTAGAGATTTAAAAAAGAAATCAAAATTTTGAAATATCGGGTACTAAGATTTTATAATTGCAATTACAAATCCTGTTTGGTATGATTTTAATATTCCGTTAACCTGTCAACCGCGTCTCTTTCGGACATTCACACTGAACTAAATATCTGGATCTAAATTTAGAAACATGTGGTCGATATGTTCACGTGAAAGACAAAAATAGAAACATCGGGTCGATTTGCTATCTATCAGCGAACTCGAGATTGGAATAGCCAATTAGAATCAAGGAAAGGGATGCAATATGTCATATTCCTGGTTATTCCTTATATACTTTAAATATTCACTATGTGGTCTTCCTATTGTTTTGTTTAGTGGATGGCGTATGGTCAGATTGGGGATCCTGGTCAAGCTGTAGCGTTACTTGTCATTTCCAAGGAACATACACCCGATCTCGTTCTTGTAACAATCCCTCCAAAGACGGGAATGGACTGGACTGCCCGGGATCCTCATCAGAGACTACCACGTGTGATCCACCAAATGAAGTTTGCCCATGTGAGTACAATGTACCATTTAGATTTGTGTATTCATCTTTCAATATACAAAGTGGTAGACTCTGCTGGTGGATTTTCTTATTCCCCCAGATTTGGCGTTACCATGGTAGTTGTCTCTTTTGAGTAGTAGTACGGGTCATTATACAACACGTTTCTCATTATCAATTTTGAATAAATCAGTACTCATCTCACTTTTGAAATCAGTATTATTACCATGTTTTACACATGGCCCCTCCTAGATGTTTCAACGGTAGCTTAGGCGAATGTGTGTCCACCTTGTTTGCATCTAGCATCACCAGTGAGTCCTTGTTGGACCTAACAACTATAAAATACAGCGTATTATATATTTATTTTAATGTTTCTAGCCAAATTGTATATATGCAATCAGATTTGTTTGCCTTGCATTCATTTGGTACTGTTCCTAGTGGTCAGGTACATTTGACGTGTGTGTCTGAGCACGTCATTGTTGTTTCTTTCTTTATCTTTAGTCGCTTCTTCCTAACAACCTTTTCGTTTCATATTGCCTTGCTCGGCAATACCCCATTTTTAGCCTTTGTGTTGAGCGCCTACCCTGTCAAATCGGGACATACATAAGTCCTTATAAATGGCACTTGTTACTCTTGCTTAACGTTCAGCATTAAGGGTTATGGCAACAACTGGTTAGCCTGTTGTCAGTAAAATTTGACCAGGTGAAATGCTGTGCTGCGTGCCTTCGGCATGATATTTCAGTAAGGTCGCACTCTCAAGCTGGTATCAGATACGCGCTATCACAAGGAGGCAATGCATCAACATACCATGCCTCTAGCACACGTGCGCGTATTCATTACACACATGGAGGAACGTCTTTAAATGGCCATAGCTGTCAATAGGACGTTAGCAAAATAAAACCAACCCAAACCATCTATGAATAAACTTTACCTATTTTAACATTTATCAATAACGCATGAAGACAATGCAAAGTTGTATGGTCGCCATCATGCTCTTAAACGGAAACATGTTATCGTGCAATTTGAAGATTGATGTTTTTTTTATCATTATGCTCATTGGTATTCCTTGTGTTTTGTTATCAATACCCGAGTTCTCGGTATGAGGACGTAACATTACTTGGATTTAACCCTAGATTGACATGGCGAGTGTCGTCGATGAAGCAGAATACGCTTACTCTTCTGATACACCTGGTCGTATAGTGTCCTTGTACCTTTTCAAGGGTCTCCAAGTAATTGTTTTATTTGTCAATATTTTGCTCTAGTCTTATCAATTTTGAGTTCAAACTATTATATATCTGTATGTAACACTTTACATATTACCTACACAAGTTAGTGACGGAACATATATAAATGCAGCTAAAAAGCTCTCATATCAAACAAACGATCAAAGCCTCCCGGTATATTCCAATAAGGCTGTTCTGACAGCGTTGAACTTGTGACGTCACAGATGTGAGCTACCAATAACGAGGCGATCGCTACTGGTGTGTTTTACAGAAAAATCGTAATATCTCGTAAACGAAGGCCATCACGACGTTCGCACTTTTTAGCCTTTTATTGTTTGATATGAAATATTTTCGTAGCGTAATATAGCAAATCATTCAGGGTACACTTTGATAAAAAAAAAATATATGATTATGTTCTTCAGCGTACGGAAGTGGTACGATGTCACAAGGAAACAGCTACACTATGACGTGCCCGTCCACATTCACAATCTATACTCAAACTGCTTACTACGGTAGAAGTTCCAGCTATTCGGACTGTTATGATACAAGTTCCGTCAGCCGTGTTACAAACCAATGCGAAGGACAGGTGTCATGTGTTGTGACCTTCAGTGAAAGCCTTTTCACTGGTTACACCAGTATTAGCTGCGACTATTGCGATAACATTTACGTGTCGAACCCATGTTCATCTAGCAATATTAACGGCTATGCTACGTTTAAATGCGGACGTAAGTGTTTGATTATTGTTATTTTGCTTACTTGTACCAGAGTAGTAGTATTTTTGTTATGTGTAACCACTGTACAATTGTATAATCCTACGTTCACAATGTACCTACATGCAATAGACATACACAAAGATGCAGTACAATTGTGCAAACTGATTTTAGAATTGATGGAACCCACTGCAGAATTGTACACACTTACCAACGAATTGTACAAATCTACTGCAGAATCGTAGGAACCTGAGGCAGAATCGTGCGAACCTGAGGTAGAATCGTACGAACCTGAGGTAGAATCGTAAGAACCTGAGGCAGACTCGTACGAACCTGAGGCAGAATCGTACGAACCTGAGGCAGAATCGTACGAACCTGAGGCAGAATCGTACGAACCTGAGGTAGAATCGTACGAATCTATTTTAGAATTTCCGAACCTAACGTTTAATTGTACGTACAGTAGATAATGATACAGGCTATAATGGACACATTTTAATCAAGGTGAATGACATGTGTTTTACGACAGTGACTTTATTATTTTTAAATATACGTCTGTAGTAATATAAAATCAAAATGCTTATCTGCATGTATTGCCGTCATGTTTACAATTTAAACGTTTTTAACTTCATTATAAACCACACTGTAATTCGTTCTGTCCAGTGGTATGATTATTATAAAGGATGCGTGCCAGTTATGGCTATCTGCATACCTTGGGGCTGTGCCGTCATGTTATAACTTGAAATTGAGGCCTGTTTGGAGTCCATGCCGAGATACGAGGGAGTAAAGTGGGGAACCAAAATCACAAATAGCCTCTTTTTGACAAAACTGCATGCTATTTTCTTTTATTAAGCTTCCTTCAATATTTTGATTTATCACATACTTACTAATACATACGGGTTTTTTGTATATGCGATATGACACAATTGCTCTAACCCATATCAGCCCTCGCCGTATCACACCCCAAAACCCGTATCAGCCCCCAAAACCCATATCACAACCCTTTTGGAAAAAAAATCGTTTTTCAATATTTCAAAAATAAAAAATATATCATATGATAGTAGTTTTTATTTAGTAAGTATGTAATAAACAGAATAAAACACGCCTTTTTCCATACCACACCCAGTATCAACCCTCGACCAATATCAGCCCTCGGGCCTTCGGCCCTTGGGCTGATATTGCAGTCTCGGGGTGATACTGGGTGTGATATGGAAAAAGGCATGTATTATTCTCTATGTATTGTGTAACTTTAAAGCTGCAAACAATACAATTAACTCAAACATAATACATAGTTGATAAGTAGATCACTGTGACCTTGGTACTTTTCGGCTTAATTATGCCAACGATTCTTTCTATTTTGTGCCTAAACACACTTTAGAGCCATACACTAATCTTACCAATTGTATTTATAAGTATCCTAAACAGATCTCGGGGTGATTATTTGGTTATCTTACCCTCGGATAGCCTCGGGTTATACAGCCAAATGAATCGTCCCTCGGTCTGCAGATATTTCATCCTTGCTGTGAGGGAAGATACAATGTACCATAAGTCATCCTCACTTCATGGCTTGATCTGTGTTAATGACGGTGTTACAGGAACAGGCGGAGTTAGCACGTGGTCACCATGGTCACTATGTACCGTGACGTGTGACGGTGGGACTCGAAGTAGAAGTCGCACGTGCGACAACCCTTTACCGATCTCTCCGGGAACAGACTGTTCAGACACCCTGTCGGACACAAAGGACTGCTTCACATTCCCTTGTCCGTGTAAGTAATAATGTACATATTTGAGAACTTCAAAACTGGACATTTTCAAATGTGAAAATGTTAGCGTTGTGACTGTTAACTGTTCTCGCTGTGGTAATGTTTAGCGTTCGTAGTTATGCTGAAATCTGCTAATTCGTTATATCTATAATACATGGAATCCATAATATCATGATGTATAACTTATCGTTCATGCAATTTTGTTTTCGTGCTAATTTACTAACTGCGACAAACGTTAGCATTTCCACAGTGCGAACATTTCTACTTTTTCAGTAGTAGACAGGTCTACGCCCAGTCCTTATGTTCTTTTACGGTTTATTTTCAAATTGTAAACAGACATGAAGATAAAATCTTAAAACATATGATGTATTTAGTTTTACTAAATTTTGAACATTTTTTCCCCTTTAGAATATGAAGGTAATAGAGATAAAACACATGCAAGTTTGTAGATTGCCTCTCGAAATGATGAATTAGTATGTCAAGATTTGAGTAAGTTTATTAATTATTAAATTTAGTTGCACTTATGAAATGAATTGAAAGTATAACAGTTCATGGCATGTTGAAATTCTACATTATTCTTTTAATCGTAGAGGAAATGAACTTGTTATTTGTAATTTTCAAAAATGTGAACTTCAATCAAATGCTACGAAGTATTCCAGTATGCTTTCATTGCCATGCGCTTTCATTCACTAATAAAACAAATTTAAATATCGTAAGTATGATTGTCTGCAGCCTGTGGCGATCACATGTCTGGATATTACCTGATGGAGCCCTGGAACATGACGTCATACAACGACTCGGAATCTGGTCAGTTTGCATCATTTCTAACCGTTTTCTTCATGTTGATAGATAGTTTGTAAACGGGTCCATATAATAGCACAGTGAAATGTGTGGTGTGGCGTTTTGATGACAAGTACGGTCTGTAGTCTCTCCTCTTTCATCAGACAAATGACCGGTAACGCACATGTACGTTTTTCAATATTGGCAAGGACCTGGATGACACTTTACGGCAAATAATGCCGTAAAGTTGTCCAGTCTTGTAAACATTGTTATATCGTGTGACTACAATGTCGAAAATGCTATTCTTCTTTCCGCTAGTATAGTGAGTTTAATTCTATGAGTTATAAAACGTACGAATGTTGTAACCATCAGTTGCTGTCGGCTTGACCGAATCTGTTTAGGGAACAGCAGTTTATATTTTCCATTTGCCATATGTGTTTTCAGTGGTTCATGATATAAAGCTTACAGTGCTTGACAATGTAACATTTTGATATACCATTTTACATTGATAAATATCACTTTGATTTCAATAATGTAGTTTTTCTTAATCTATTGCTGAAAATGGAACATTATATGTCCTGCTTTACGTTAATTTAGACTGGCATCCAAAATTTAAAAAAAATTGTTGATAGTGAAATCCAACAAAATTACATGGTATCGCATTAAAATGAAGCCAAAACTGATTTTTAATTTTATTGTTTAGACATTGATCATCCATATGAATATCATGGTTAAAATATCTTTCATGTCGCTTTTATTTGTTTAGGTGTCGGGTATCTGTTGACAAACACGCACTATGAAATAATGTGTTGTGAGTCGATAGCAGCCATAGAGTTCTATACCTCCCACGAAGGGTCGATCACCTTCAGCGTCTGGAGGAAATCTGGATCGTCCTACTCTGTAGTAGCCTCCACAGCATACACTGTTACAGGTGTGTATTTAAGGGTTGCCCATTGCATACCATATGGCAGAGTTCCGATATTTGTAACGAGCGCTTGATCCACACTTGTCAAACATATATATATTCTACCGTACAAGTGAAATATGTACGATATGTAAGGAGAACAAGACACGAGTTAGTCTATTTATTACATTATTAAAGTGTAGCGACGAAAATAATGCAGCACTGGAAACGGCAGGAAATGGTAGCATAATATTTTATATCTGATTCTAACGATGTGACGCGTTGGCAACAAGGAAGCAAGGCTGAGCGCCAATTTGGTTGGTTACTCAAAACAATTCCACAATTTGCTGCTAATTTCTTGTAAGATTTCCGAACAACACTTACATAAATTTTGCAGTTAATTAAATACATTGTACCTAAGTGAATGTAGCAAACGTGTATACGAACAACTTTTCTACCGTCGTTTCATCTGCAAAGGAAAAGAGCTATTCTGATTGGTCAATACTAAAACTCATATAGGCATAGTTTGGAACTCCTGGCAAAATAGAGTTTCGTCAAATAGGGACATGGAGATTAAGTTTTCCTTCCAAGGCTCCTTTATGAAAAATGAATGGATTTCAACTAATATTACCAGATGCTTCCTTGGTTTGATTTGGTTTTATTTTGTTTAACGTGCTATTAACAGCTAAGGTCATTTGAGGACGTGCCTCCATGTATGTTGTGTAATCGTATATGTGTATATGTGTGCCGGAGACAGGCTATGTTAGTGCAATTGCCTCCTTCTGATAGCGCGGATCTGATACCGACGTTATAGTGCTATCTCACTGAAATGCCATACCGAAGGCAAACAAGGACAGCATCCCGCCCGGTCACATTATACTGACAACGGGTGAACCAGTTGTTGCCATTCCCATTAATGCTGAACGTTAAATAGGGAATAACAACTACCATCTGTAAGGACTTTGGTATGTCCCGGCCTGGGGACAGAACCATTGCCTTCCTCACCTAGGCGAACGCTTAACATTCAAGCCAAAAGTAAGGTGTTGCCAAGCAAGGCAATAGGAAATAAACGGTAGTTAGACGTAGATAGAAAGATAAAGATCCCAACTATTGCAATGGGTGCATCAGATTTATTTATGGTCGCTTTTGTGTCCCCAAATAGAGGACACCGAAGCAAATTCCCCATTTTTGCAGGGGATTCTGATATTAGCCGCCTCCTACGATACATGCAGTGGGTAACAGCAGGTGTATTCTTTTTCCGATCCCCAACCTGCAGGGGTGAATGCTTCCTTGGGCATAAGAATGTAATGTGTAATACATGTTGACGTTAGTGTAACATGATCTGGGTTTTGTTTAGGCCTAAACAATGTATGCAGGAGGTTAATCTTCAGTGTATCAGTAGGCATGGATTAAATACTTGTCTAAGCTAAACAAAACGGGGAAACGGAGCAAATCAATCGGACTCTCGACCAGTTTAGATAAATGATGAACATGTTTGGATATATTTGGAATCAAGATTACATTTTCGACTTCATCTTAAATAAATTGCAAAATTAGTTTTTTTTATATATTTTTTTATTTTGATAAGATTATCTCAAGTAAGCGGACACATTTCGACTTCTTGTTGAGTTCTGATATCATTAAAATTAGGTAAGCAATACAAGCCCGATGGACCTCTTGTCTTAAAATGTGTGCAGCGACTAATTGTGTCATTTAGTGTTATACCATATTGTATTTCACGCATTATTATCTAATCATTTATTTATGAAAAGTCACAAGATACGACATAGATAGCACCCAATCACATGTTGTCTTATATATGTAATCTTAAAATGACATATACCAATGGTCTTCATCCCATTCGCTGTCTCGAGCAAACAATTACCTATAAAAGTACGTAATTGACAGTCTACCTGCGTGTAAAACAGTAGTTTGCTGAAATATTAAAATGTAAACAAACCAATTTGGATATGTTCCATAGTAGTATACATATATAATCTCAAACATGTGGTTTAATCCCCAGCCACGGAAGCAAATACCACAATCAACTATACATTTTCACTTGGAAACCGGATGATCGCCAAAACGGGGGATATGATTGGCTGGTAAGTGATGAATATCTATATACCGATCACTAAAATTCTGTTAATCCAGCGGTTAGCTGTTAAGTGTTAATCCAGTTTTCGTGGTTCTAAAGGATCTTTTAAATGCTACGTATCGTAATTCCACGATTGAAAATAATAGATGACACCATTAATTTTTTTTCCTGCACCTTTATTTGTTGAATCCTAATCACGTGGAGATCGACGATTTGTTATACTGATTTAGTGTTACTATTTTTAGAAGCACCATGTTAATATTTTCTTCATGACGTCAATTCAATTTTAACATCATATTGCTTTCTACAAAATGCAGTACTTTTTTCTCTTGCCTGTTTGCTTACGACCAGAATGTTTCAATGATAAAATTATCATATTTATGTACCGAATATAATAGTTAAGCACTTTATTTGGGTGTATGTGTGGTTATATGGAGCTGAAAAAAGTGATATCGACCTCCATTTCGTCTCGGTTAATACCGCTTTCTCAGGTTCATATAACCAATTATTTACCTCGACAAAAGTCCATAATTGATCATTGATATACATTGAAGTTATATGATCGTTATGTAACACACACAACATATGAATATTATCATATCACACCGAGGCAATATGATAATAATGGCATTTTGCTAAGGTCATAAGATAAATATGACAACAAAGTGAGTTAAACTCTTCCATCGCTTAAACATATTTAAGTAGACTGCCTTCTACGTAAAAAATAAGAAAAATGCTAATTGCGCCTGCAAGTATGATGAGTTGACAACATCAAACTATACTTCAGTACCTTTTATTTCGTCTTATACGAAGTAATGCAAAAATATTTCATAGTGTTATCGGTGACAATGTGTTGTTCGTTTTAATTGATGAGAAACGAAGACAAAAAAACCGACGAAACGAGATGTTGTCCGTGTTATACTTGATGCAGCATTCATGAATCGCCTCAACTGGTTCAAGTGTATAGAATTTCTAAATTGTGAATATAAGAAAGAACGTTAAGTATGTTATGCCTAAAGATGCTTAAATAATGATAAAACACGTATTATCGTTTCTTAAATACATAATTATTGTTTTATCTAGGTATACTCCGGAAGACAATATGATACCATACATTCTGTGTACAGGGGAGGAGAACTGCCCCAATGCCACTAAGAAGGCCCCGCTAACTTCGGAGCCTACAGCAGCCAGTAGCTTTGCCTGGGACACCCACGGAAGTGTTACGACTTTTCCTGACCGTGCATACGCTATTAAGTTTTACACAAGTCCAAGTAAGTTCTGGCTAAGCTTCCAGGTGCAGTTATATTGAAAAGAATCAAATTTTGAAACCGTTTCCGTAAGTTCTCTTCTTTTTTATAGCGGTCCGATAAACTACTATAAAATTGTACTCCAGCTCAAGTAACTTTATGGTGTTGCTTGTTCACCTTGCCCCTAACTAGATTTAAAAAATTTAAGATTTAAACCCAGTCCATTGACAATAGTCAAGTTTTCTACCTTTTTCTGATTAACTACTGTACTATCAAGCCCTATTGTTAATATTGTCATATAGATACCACGCCCTATTGTTAATAATTGACATATAGATACCACGTCCTATTGTTAATACTGTCTCATAGATATATTGTCATATAGGAACCACGCCCTATCGTTAAAACTGTCTCATAGATATATTGTCATATAGATACCACGCCCTGTTGTTAATAATTGTCATATAGATACCTAGCCCTATTGTTAATATTGTCTCATAGATACCACGCCCTGTTGTTAATATTGTCATATAGATACCACGCCCTATTGTTAATACTGTCTCATAGATATATTGTCATATAGATACCACGCCCTATTATTAATACTGTCTCATAGATATATTGTCATATAGGTACCACGCCCTATCGTTAAAACTGTCTCATAGATATATTGTCATATAGATACCACGCTCTATTATTAATACTGTCTCATAGATATATTGTCATATAGATACCACGCCCTATTATTAATACTGTCTCATAGATATATTGTCATATAGATACAACGCCCTATTGTTAATATTGTCATATAGATACAATGTACCACGCCCTACTTTTAATATTGTCATATAGATACCACGCCCTATTGTTAATAATTGTCGTATAGATACCACGCCCTATTGTTAATAATTGTCATATAGATACCACGCCCTATTGTTAATAATTGTCATATAGATACCACGCCCTACCGCTAATATTGTCATATAGATACAATGTACCACGCCCTACTGTTTACATTGTCATATAGATACCACGCCCTATTGTTAATATTGTCATATAGATACAATGTACCACGCCCTACTGTTAATATTGTCATATAGATACCACGCCCTATTGTTAATATTGCCATATATATACCACGCCCTACCACTAATATTGTCATATAGATACCACGCCCTACTGTTAATATTGTCATATAGATACTGTACCACGCCCTATTGTTAATATTGTCATTTAGATACCACGCCTATTGTTAATATTGTCATTTAGATACCACGCCCTATTGTTAATATTGTCACATAGATACCACGCCCTATTGTTAATATTGTCATATAGATATTGTACCACGCCCTATTGTTAATATTGTCATTTAGATACCACGCCCTATTGTTAATATTGTCACATAGATACCACGCCCTACCTCTAACGTTGTCTTATAGATACTACGCCACACTCTACTTGTTTAAATTTTACTGTAGATAATGCTTCCTCAGTGTAATATTTTCATACATTTTTAAATATGGGGTAAATCAGTACGGTACATCCTACCTGTTTTAGAAAGGAATAGAATAGTAAAGTATTATTATACATGTGTTAGTACATTTTAAGTTAGTTAACATTAGTGTGCATCTATTTAATTAGATACCGCACCCTACGTGAACCAGACGGATTTCAGCACTCTTGTGAAGGACCACGAGCCGCCTGGTACCTGGGCCATCGACTATGCAATATTCACCGACGAGGTTGGCGACCCTCTTACTCACACAATGGTCCATGCGGAGGGTTTCTTTGAATTGAATTCCACCTATGACCCACGTAAGTGCAACCTCAAAGTCAACCCTCACCACAATAAACAAAAACATGCGAAAAACACACAAGCTACGTGTAGAATGCATAATGATACAGTTTTTCGGCACGAGATGGAGACAAACAGCACAGTCAAATAGAATTAAAAAATGTATTTAACAAGATGATAAGCAGAATTTTTCATGTACCTGGTTGCATGTGTAAAATGATTTTGAACCTATAATATTGTAAAGATGGAAGCTCGGGTTAACTCATGATTAAGTTTCGATAGGACATCGAACTTCAGATGTTGACTTCATCTCAAATGTCGAAAGAAATACCGTGTAAATGTATGATAATGTTTTTAAATCGTTATGAGAGATTCCATGCATAAGAAATCTAACTTAGATTAAATGTTGTGACGTCTGGTTCAGTAGCACATTCGAAAAGTGAGCCCGTCGCCAAGTGTGATGTACACAACCGTAGGAACTGTAACATGTCAACCTCGTATCTAAATCCGACTTTGTATTTTGGTAGAAAATGTATTATTATCCACGCATTTATGGTACTTTGTTAAAGAGCTCTGTCCAAAACTACAAACACAACCATCACGTCCTTTTATCGACATATAAATGAAGCATGCTAGTAACCGGTCACCTCTACCACATGTAAAATAGGAACATGATCCATCCCTTTACGGGAGAGTCGGTCAACATGCCATGATACGCCCCTTAATTTCAGTACAATGCATAATCACCACAATGCTTTACAACAGTTACGGCCAAAATTGTCACGCACAGTTTAATGTATCAATGGCCTTATTTTTTTTTAATCGTTTGAAACTACACGTCATGTTATATAGATATAAGTTTAAGGTTTAGACAAACACCTATGATATTTCAAAGGTACATGTATGTCTATATGAGAGAGATCCTATTTTAAACAGCCATCTTTATCTGTTTGTTATAGAACGTCTCTTCCTTCAAGTGAAGAAGAAGCTTCCAAAAGAATACAACATTTACTCCATCGTCTTGACATCGACGGATACCTGTGGCTTAACAGTATCTACAACCTATTCTATTACTACATATAATGCGGTAAGTCGAGTCATTACTAGACATGACTGATCTGGTGATGTAGTGATTAACGCACTCGACATTCACCAAGGCGGCCGGGGTTCGATTCCCTGGCCGGACGTGAAAAGGTATGGGGTCACCTGTCCGACCACGTATCTTTTGATACTCCGGTTTCTTCCCATATCGAGATCCCCGCACGCTAACATCCGGGCCAACAAGAATGATTGATAGAAATTAAAATAGCTTGTTTCATAATTGTTGTAAAATTAAATAAATAATGTTTATTATTATTACATATTTACAGATGACTGGTTCTGTGAATATTAAGATATTGATATGTTACTTCAAAAAATGTGTAAAGTCTGTATCCATGAATTTAACCACCATTACATAATTGGAACGATCAGTATCAAGTGCAAAGTTTATCAATATCTTACCACTATAAATATATTTACAAAAGCTGATTTATAACTACACGTGATTGGAAAGGGTAGTATATTTATCCCAATATATTACTACATATAATCTATTCATTTCTGTGTCAGGATTTTCAAAAAATGCCATGCCATAACGTTCAATAAAAAAATACGCATTGTCTGTGGGCTATACTTTTCACATCTTTCAAAATGCTTTTTGACGTAGCAGGAAATGTGATAAAACGTTTGCAAAAATCTCCTTTGTTTTTTTAGCTATGCGATATCAGAATATAGGACCCCTCAAATGTTCTGGTCGAACGTATGCATGAAAGCCGATTCACATGATCGGCACTGTATTATATGGTGTATGCGATGTACTAGGAGTCGCTATGACTGTTTATATGAGAATAACTTATCATCAAATTCATACTAAAAGTACATCCAAATACAGGTGGGAACTCCATGTATCTTATACCGGAATGGTATCCTGTATTCATTGAGTCAAATAGTTTTGTTCTGCGGCAGATAACCCGCGGGCAATCTCCCGGGCGAGAATTTGTAGAATTTATTTCCAAGACTTGATTTTTTTCCGCAAAACACAAGAAATTACGGTACATCCTCCTAAACCTGAAAGGAATTTCGCTTCCTTCGTAACCGCTTTTTTTCTATTTGAAAATACAATATATGCATAAGGAACAGCTTACTACTCACAATAGACGTGACGGTTTTGATTTGCCAGTCTTGCACATTCCCTTTCTTGGTAGTAAAATCCTTCTTCCAACCTGTGTTGTTTACATGTCGCAGTTGAATTGGAATTGGAATTCAAGAGCGTGCTCCGAATATCATGATTTCCGTGATAGGAGTCAACTGCTGATGGACAAACGTATAACACAGGGTTTCCAGATTGATGAAAACTTTTGACAAGTTTTATAGTCGCCATCATAGTTTCATTTGGGAAATATATTAACCATGTCTTTTGTGTGAAATAACTATTTCTGTGTAGTGTTGTTTGTTGTTTTGTTGCCAATACATCTGCTCTCCCGTCGAGGACGTGCCATTATTTTTAGATTCGAACAACATTTTATTGTGGGTGTTGTCCATGGAGTAGAAAGGGTGAACCGTACTTGTGACATTCCGGAACATCTGAGATTGATATCTTTGTACTTTTGAAAGAGTGGACTGTCCCCCGTCTCTATAATATTATAAAGATATTTAATTACTTGTATTTATGAGAAAAAAATAACCCTTATAAATTGTATCACTTGGATGTCTGATTCTAGCCTAAGTTCTTAACTAGGGGGAGATGCGCTAGTAGTAAAAATGCAGGTGAGAAAGTCTTTTGCTAGGGTTCCGATGTAACAAACAAAAAAAAAAAAAAAAAAATGTGACGTCATAATGGTGTCATATAAATATTTTTTTACATAGTTTAACGTGTTGGTACCCTTAGCATTACGCCTTTATTTGTCTGCTAAGTTGTAAATGTGATGAGTATCTAGTTACATGAATAAGTGGTGGTGATATTGTGATCTTTCTAAAGACAAGTTTTAAATTCTAACAGCCTCCGGTGTATCTGAACTTGCCCACTAGCATGGAGTTGATGGAGGATATGGTCGGGGAAAAGTTACTTTGGCAAATTGATGTCATGGACCCGTCCGACAACGACTCAATCTGCTGTACCTTAGCACAGGTGTCTCCGGCAACAGCAAACTTTGACTTGAAGTTTACCAACAACTGTAGGTCTATGTATGACATGTATTTACATACGAGCCAAGAACTGGCTGTTTGAAACGGTGGTTTATGAGCTAAAGCATATCAAATAGATGAAACTGTCTAGCCTTGCTCAATATAGCACCTGTATAACGAGACCATATTTATGAAGCGACCACCTTTAAACAAAAATCGCAATATGTTTTTATTCTCCTTTTCCCCCAATCCTATCCTGTATTAAGAAACCAGTTGCAATAAGATACATATATGGACCTCCTGAAGGCTGTCTTTCTGAATACAGGTGTTCGATAATTGCATTATACTGATTCCCTTGATTGACTTGATCTGCAATGAATATCAATTGATTAATTTAGGTAGAATTATATAAATGCTTCGTCCTATTTTGAATACTAAAATGATAATATTGAAAATGAAACGGAGGAGGCCTACATGTATCTGATATTGAACTTCGCTCTCTACACCCCTGGAATACGTTATAGTAAAATTGAAGGTTCGGTGTGCACCATCTTGTTAATAAGACAAGAAGACTAGTTCGATGTACATCAAAAAAATCTCGCGGTAACGTAACGGTAACAATTGACAGGCTTTGAAGTCGGACGTCTCTCCTTTGTAATCTTCAAAGGACAGGTATCAGCCTAGCGATTGGTCAGGTTTTTTTACCTGAGACCAATCAAACAGCTATCTTCGTGCCTTCAATTTTGCAATGACATATTCCGGGGGTGTTGAGAGCGAAGGTGAGCGTAACCCCTGGATATCGTGGATGCTCCGAGTCTAACAAGTTTATCTCACTCGCACGCACTTAACAGCCCATTTGAATGAGCCATTTAAATGAGCCGAAAGTCACAGTGCCTGTCTGACATCGATACTGGTGTATCAAGGTTTGCCAAGATTAAGATCAAATTCGATAGGTGTGTGTATCACATTTGCAAAATGTATGCATGTGAATGAGAAAAATAGCATACAAATAATCGCCAGTCGGCCATTATCAAGACGTGTTTGCCGAACTTGATGAACAAACAAGGCAACTATATAAACCCTCTCTACTTCATTGGCAGGTATCAAAACCAAACTTAAATCCAATATCATAAGTTAAAAGACCTAAAATATTTTTCGTGATTTTGGTTATTCCTTAAAATTGCCACTCCCGTCTTCAACAAAATAATTTTTAAAAAAAAAGGAAAACAATATTCCGACCGACCTACCCTATTGTTTCAGTCATGTTACATGTACCTGAAACATACATCATTTATTTATATTTTGTTCCGTCTAACTGACTGTTGATCTCAAGTTCAAAAGGCAGACGCTCTATCGATTTGTTATATCCCTTTCATAGGTTGTAAAACAGCTGTACGAAATATTCAAGATGAAATAATTGTATGTATTCGAAATCGTCTAATTATAACCTGTAAGCATATACATGCATGAAAACTATTCTAGATCTTTTATAATATCTGGGGCAACGATACTTCAATATAAATCCTTAAAAACAAAACTGCAAGTCACTTGAATGTGATGTGTACTTGAGCATGCAGGTTTTAATCACGCATTCACGATTAGGAGGAAGTTATTTCAATGTCAATAGTAAGTACTCTTCGAAACAATATTTGCGAAATAGTTAAATTTGCGAACGCGAACAATTTATCGGGGAAAACAGAGTACCCCAGTGTTCAGCATTATTATTAACAGCGTAATATTATTTTACAAATTTTAGCATGTATAAAATCGGAGCCTAGTTTTTAACATATTGGTGAAAATGTGACTTTCATTCACACCATCATAGTCTATACGGCCAAAAAAAACATTTTTACATAAATGTATTGACACACATATCAATGAAGCCAGGGAGAGGAAGTCTATGAGCGTCACTTTGCAGGCTTCAATACACAGTGGCCGGTTGGTGCAGTAAGATAATACCTACCTTTCACAAAGGCGTGAACGGTTTGATTCCCAGATCGTACGTCAAAAGATATATGGTCACCTGCCCGACAGCATCAGTTTTTCTTCGGGAATTCTGGTGTCCTCCCAAACCTCTGCACGTTTATATTCGGGCCATCAAGAGTGATAAATATGTTATATACGACCGAAGTCTTATTTAGATTTAATGACACAATTTAATATATATGCAAACTAGATGATGAACTTCATGAGTAACAGTGTCACATACATGTATGTTTTAGCCATTAGCGTATATGCGAGCGAGAGCGTATAATAAAACTCTATTGGTGATCATGAACGTGTTGCGTCTGTTGTAGCCTTCAACATATTCACGACCCCACATCTAGTGTTTAATTACAAAGAGATCAGCGATTTCTACAAACTACGCGTCTGCTGTTCTGACGACACCGGGTCTTCCATGAGCTTTATCGATATTGACATCGTCGACGTCATCACTAAGGAGGCCTATATTCCGCCAGGTATATATATCATAAGAATATAAGACTAATACTGTAAGGCATGACATTCCGCTGGGATGACCGTTTGGTAATTCTGCGTGTTATAATTGTTATCGCGAAAATGTCACCCGCAGAATAATACAAGCGTAAAAATGAGCCGCGATAATACACTTCCTTACCGAAATGTCGTCGATAATACACTTCCTAACCGTAATGTCGTCGCTAATACACTTCTTAACCGTAATGTCGTCGATAATCCACTTCCTAACCGTAATTTCGTCGATTATACACTTCCTAGCCGTAATGTCGTCAATAATACCCTTCCTAACCGTAATGTCGTCGATAATACACCCCCTAACCGTAATGTCGCCGAAAATCCACTTCCTACCCGTAATGTCGGCGATAATACACTTCCTAACCGTCATGTCGTCGATTATACACTTCTTAACCGTAATGTCGCCGAAAATTCACTTCCTAACCGTAATGTCGACGATAATACACTTCCTAACCGCAATGTCGTCGATTATACACTTCCTCAACGTAATGTCGTCAATAATACACCTCCTAACCGTAATGTCGTCAATTATACACTTCCTAACCGTAACGTCGTCAATAATACACTTCCTACCCGTAATGTCGTCAATAATACCCTCCCTACCCGTAATGTCGCCGAAAATACCCTTCCTACCCGTAATGTCGTCGATAATACAGTTAGGAAGTGTATTATCGACGGCATTACGGTTAGGAAGTGTATTATCGCCGACATTACGGGTAGGAAGTGGATTTTCGGCGACATTACGGTTAAGAAGTGAATAATCGACGACATTACGGTTGGGAAGTGTATTATTGACGACAGTACGGTTAGGAAGTGTATAATACACTTCCTTACCGAAATGTCGTCGATAATACACTTACTAACCGTAATGTCGTCGATAATCCACTTCCTAACCGTAATTTCGTCGATTATACACTTCCTAGCCGTAATGTCGTCGATAATACACTTCCTAACCGTAATGTCGTCGATTATGCACTTCCTAACCGTAATGTCATCGATAATACACTCCCTAACCGTAATGTCGCCGAAAATACACTTCCTACCCGTAATGTCGTCGAAAATACACTTCCTACCCGTAATGTCGTCGATAATACACTTCCTAACCGTAATGTCGTCGATAATACACTTCCTAACCGTAATGTCGTCGATAATACACTTCCTAACCGTAATGTCGTCGATAATACACTTCCTAACCGTAATGTCGTCGATAATACACTTCCTAACCGTAATGTCGTCGATAATACACTTCCTAACCGTAATGTCGTCGATAATACACTTCCTAACCGTAATGTCGTCGATAATACACTTCCTAACCGTAATGTCGTCGATAATACACTTCCTAACCGTAATGTCGTCGATAATACACTTCCTAACCGTAATGTCGTCGATAATACACTTCCTAACCGTAATGTCGTCGATAATACACTTCCTAACCGTAATGTCGTCGATAATACACTTCCTAACCGTAATGTCGTCGATAATACACTTCCTAACCGTAATGTCGTCGATAATACACTTCCTAACCGTAATGTCGTCGATAATACACTTCCTAACCGTAATGTCGTCGATAATACACTTCCTAACCGTAATGTCGTCGATAATACACTTCCTAACCGTAATGTCGTCGATAATACACTTCCTAACCGTAATGTCGTCGATAATACACTTCCTAACCGTAATGTCGTCGATAATACACTTCCTAACCGTAATGTCGTCGATAATACACTTCCTAACCGTAATGTCGTCGATAATACACTTCCTAACCGTAATGTCGTCGATAATACACTTCCTAACCGTAATGTCGTCGATAATACACTTCCTAACCGTAATGTCGTCGATAATACACTTCCTAACCGTAATGTCGTCGATAATACACTTCCTAACCGTAATGTCGTCGATAATACACTTCCTAACCGTAATGTCGTCGATAATACACTTCCTAACCGTAATGTCGTCGATAATACACTTCCTAACCGTAATGTCGTCGATAATACACTTCCTAACCGTAATGTCGTCGATAATACACTTCCTAACCGTAATGTCGTCGATAATACACTTCCTAACCGTAATGTCGTCGATAATACACTTCCTAACCGTAATGTCGTCGATAATACACTTCCTAACCGTAATGTCGTCGATAATACACTTCCTAACCGTAATGTCGTCGATAATACACTTCCTAACCGTAATGTCGTCGATAATACACTTCCTAACCGTAATGTCGTCGATAATACACTTCCTAACCGTAATGTCGTCGATAATACACTTCCTAACCGTAATGTCGTCGATAATACACTTCCTAACCGTAATGTCGTCGATAATACACTTCCTAACCGTAATGTCGTCGATAATACACTTCCTAACCGTAATGTCGTCGATAATACACTTCCTAACCGTAATGTCGTCGATAATACACTTCCTAACCGTAATGTCGTCGATAATACACTTCCTAACCGTAATGTCGTCGATAATACACTTCCTAACCGTAATGTCGTCGATAATACACTTCCTAACCGTAATGTCGTCGATAATACACTTCCTAACCGTAATGTCGTCGATAATACACTTCCTAACCGTAATGTCGTCGATAATACACTTCCTAACCGTAATGTCGTCGATTATACACTTCCTAACCGTAATGTCGTCAATAATACACTTCCTAACCGTAATGTCGTCGATAATACACTTCCTAACCGAAATGTCGTCGATAATACACTTCCTAACCGTAATGTCGTCGATTATACACTTCCCAACCGTAATGTTGTCAATAATACACTTCCAAACCGTAATGTCGTCGATAATACACTTCCTAACCGTAATGTCGTCAATAATACACTTCCAAACCGTAATGTCGTTGATAATACACTCCCTAACCGTAATGTCGCCGAAAATACACTTTCTAACCGTAATGTCGTCGATAATACACTTCGTAACCGTAATGTCGTCGATTATACACTTCCTCACCGTAATGTCGTCGGTAAAACACTCCCTAACCGTGTCGTCGTCGATAATCCACTTCCTAACCGTAATGTCGTCGAAAATCCACTTCCTCACCGTAATGTCGTCGATAATACACTCGTTAACCGTTAATGTCGTCTACAATACACTCCCTAACTGTAATATCGTCGATAACACACTCCCTAACCGTGTCGTCGTCGATAATTCACTTCCTAACCGTAATGTCGTCGATATTACACTCTTTAACCGTTAATGTCATCTAAAATACACTCCCTAACTGTAATATCGTCGATAACACACTCGCTAACCGTGTCGTCGTCGATAATACACTTCCTAGCGGTAGTGTGGTCGATAATACACTTCCTAACCGTAAGGTCGTCGATAATACACTCCCTAACCGTGTCGTCGTCGATAATACCCTTCCTAACCGTAATGTCGTCGATTATACCCTTCTTAACCGTAATGTCGTCGATAATACACTTCTTAACCGTAATGTCGTGGATAATACACTCCCTAACCGTAATGTCTCCGAAAATACACTTACTAACCATACACTTCCTAACCGTAATGTCGTGGATAATACACTCCCTAACCGTAATGTCGTCGATAATACACTTCCTTCCCGTAATGTCGTCGATAATACACTTCATAACTGTAATGTCGTCGATAATACACTACCTCACCGTAATGTCGTCGATAAAACCCTCCCTAACCGTGTCGTCGTCGATAATTCACTTCCTAACCGTAATGTCGTCGATAGTACACTTCCTCACCGTAATGTCGTCGATAAAACATTCCCTAACCGTGTCGTCGTCGATAATTCACTTCCTAACCGTAATGTCGTCGCTAATACACTTCCTACCCGTAATGTCGTCGATAATACACTTCATAACTGTAATGTCGTCGATAATACACTTTCTCACCGTAATGTCGTCGATAAAACCCTCCCTAACCGTGTCGTCGTCGATAATACACTTCCTTACCGTAATGTCGTCGATAATACGCTCTTTAACCGTTAATGTCGTCTACAATACACTCCCTAACTGTAATATCGTCGATAACACACTCCCTAACCGTGTCGTCGTCGATAATTCACTTCCTAACCGTAATGTCGTCGCTAATACACTTCCTACCCGTAATGTCGTCGATTATACACTTCCTCACCGTAATGTCGTCGGTAAAACACTCCCTAACCGTGTCGTCGTCGATAATTCACTTCCTAACCGTAATGTCGTCGATATCACACTCCCTTACCGGAAATGTCGTCGATAATACACTCTTTATCCGTTAATGTCGTCTACAATACACTCCCTAACTGTAATATCGTCGATAACACACTCGCTAACCGTGTCGTCGTCGATAATACCCTTCCTAACCGTAATGTCGTCGATAGTACACTCTTTAACCGTTAATGTCGTCAACAATACACTCCCTAACTGTAATATCGTCGATAACACACTCGCTAACCGTGTCGTCGTCGATAATACACTCCTTTACCGAAATGTAGTCGATAATACACTTCCTAACCGTAATGTGGTCGATAATACACTTCCTAACCGTAATTTCGTCGATTATACACTTCTTAACCGTAATGTCGTGGATAATACACTCCCTAACCGTAATGTCGCCGAAAATACACTCCCTAACCGAAATGTCGTCGATAATACACTTCCTAACTGTGATGTCGTCGATAATACACTTCCTTACCGTAATGTCGTCGATAATACACTTCCTAACTGTAATGTCGTCGATAATACACTTCCTCACCGTAATGTCGTCGATAAAACACTCCCTAACCGTGTCGTCGTCGATAATACACTTCCTAACCGTAATGTCGTCGATTATACACTTCCTAACCGTAATGTCGTCGATAACACACTCCCTAACCGTGTCGTCGTCGATAATACACTTCCTAACCGTAATGTCGTCGATAATACACTTCCTAACCGTAATGTCGTCGATAACACACTCCCTAACCGTGTCGTCATCGATAATACACTTCCTAACCGTAATGTCGTCGTGTATTCATATACATCAAGAGTATTGCAAGATGTCTGAAAATAGATTATATTACACATATAACAATTCTGTTGATGATTTGTTAAACAAAATACACATACTTAGTTTCGCTCAATATGTTGTAATAAAGTATATTCATTTGACTATTGGACACTTCATATGCCGAGGTATGGTTTTCTTTTCATAAATGATTTGTCTAAGCTATAGTTATGCCGGCCGAGTCAGTTTACAATGTTAGGTTTCAGACTTTGGTAGTTCTACGGGGATCAATAAGTGAAATCCGTGGCTTTGCTGAGAATTTTGCACCAACTTGAAAATACCAATGGTGCAATTACCTTACATACACCACTGGGCGTGAACAAGTATTTTTTCTACTTCCGATGACCAGAATAAACTCAGAAACCTCAAAACTGTGTCGCAGTTTCTGTATCGCGGCGTCGGAATCTACCCAACATCGTTCTTGTCCTGGACAAATCATATAAGTACAGGAATAAGAGAAAATGACCTTTACAAGATACGACACCGCATGTGTTACTCCATTTGGCATGAAAGACAAAATAAGTGTTTTACATCCAACACATTTGATAAGAAAGCTTAACGAACGAAAAACGCCCGTATGTATATGACATTAATGTTTTTGTAGGCAGCACTTTACATAGAAGCAAATTATGGTCATGAATGAAACTTCTGAATTATAGATAACCCATGCAATAAAACGTCTCATGCGCTAATTTCTTTGTCTTTTTTTAGATTAAGTATATATGTATTCAAGAATAGAAATGAATCTTTTTGACATTGTTATCCTGCATTATAGCATGTTCATGTAGCAATTTTTGTTTTTATTAAACATATATAATTATTCAATGATTGAAATGCATCTTTTTAATTTTTATTAAGGTATGCATATCTGTGCCATTCAAACATATCTCATGATCTGCGGAAGTGCATCGTTGAGAATATGTTTGAACGGAACTGTGCTTCATATCATCGTAAATGTTGAAAAGATGCATTTCACTATATATATTTACGTTCAAAACAACAAAGAAAATATTCTTTTCTTGTTTGTTTGTGTGATCCCATTCGGTTCGAAGTATTTTTAACAAACTGTTACAACATTTTTGTTAGAACGAAATATTGCTTTCTGAAGTTACACATCCTGATTGGTCTCCAATTACATTAATTATAACAGTTTGACGAAAAGAACCGAACAGTTTTCGAATGGAAAACAATCATGTAATATATGCATACATGAATTAAAGTAGTAAGGAGTCAGGACTCGAATCGGATCAGTACCGAAATCGGATCGCTGTTTGCAAAAATGATTTTAAATCAATAAATGTAGTTACAGTTAAGTCTTAGTCACGGTAGTCTAGTGGTAGGACGCCAGGCTCGTGACCGAATGGTTGCGGGTTCGAGTCACGGCACGGCACTGTGTTGTATCTTTGAGCAAGATACTTTATTCCGCTTGTTCCAGTCTACTCAGCTGTAAATGAGTACGTGGTTGGGCAGTGCTAGAATTGTTGAATGCTAGCTGTGAGCGCCGAAATGGCAGCACCGGCTGTACTGTTATTCGTTTTGGGTACTGACATTTACCAAAACCAGAAACGCTAATTGGTGATGTCCGAGTGTTCTATAAATATCTCACGTGAGCCCTGGGTATTTATTTCGTTGGTAAGAACACCCATCGATATTCTTAATTTATTATAGCCATAAACTAATATAATTCATCAGCTGAATTCTCAATGAAGAACATTATGATTTGGTGATCCATTTTGGATACTGTCACCGTATGCATACATTCATGATAAAGTGAAGTTGGGGCGTTTCATATATGTTTGGTAAATGGAATTAGCTATGTATATAAGACCGATTTTCTAATCTCATTTTATTATTTTTATTCTTATAATTCTTTTTTTTTCAGCTTGGTTTTTCACCGCTGTAGTCTGTAGTATGATTCCTATGTGCATCACATTAATGATCGCGTGTGGGATCCTCTTTGCCACCATGTTCCTAAACCCAGAGCTGAATTATGTAATCATCTATGAGGACTGAGGCAGAGGCATACCTAAATACGTTCCAAACAACAATGGAGACAACGACACAATGTTATGTTACGATTGAAATCAATCAGTCATCGACATCGATAGTTACATTCGTCGTACATTTGTGTAAGAATAATTTGTATATATCAAGAACAGAAAAATGAGCAAAACCACCAAATTAAAAAAAATAACAATGCGTTTCCAGAGTTAATCGTATACTGTATAAGCTGTAGTTGGATTTCAACTATTTCAAACTAGCCCATCCTCGATATCCAGGGGTTACGCTCACCTTCGCTCTCTACATCCCTGGAATATGCCATGCTCAATGTGCAGCACCTTGTGGATGAGACGAGACGACAAGTTTGGTCCTTTGATGTACATCAAAAGAATCTCGCGATCGCATAACGGTAACAAATGACAGGCTTTGAAGTCGGGCGTCGCTGATTTGTAATCTTCAAGGGACAAGTACCAGTCTAGCGATTGGTCAGGTTTGTTTTACCTGACACCAATCAAATAGCTAGCCGCGTGCCTTCAATATGTCTATGACATAATCCAGGGTTGTAGAGAGCGAAAGTGATTGTAACCCCTGAATATCGAGGATGAAGCTAGCCATGAAGTATGTTTCACATACATTTTAAACACTATTAAAGCTTGTATGTTTTCTCCAACAATCATTATAATATCACTGACTTACACCCATTGGATAAACAAGCCAGGAAGACGATAAACATGTATGGTCACCCACTAGATGATACCATCCATATTATTGGTCAATCTTTTAATTATGACGTCACGTTATAAGGCTTCGATGTTATCTTCCATTGTCGCGTCATTTTCATGGCCATTTTTCCCAATCTGAAACAGACATAATGCATTTGTATTTAAACACATGGTTTCCACAATTTATAAAATGAACGTTATAGGAGAGAGAGATCGTCAAACTCGACATAGTTGGATGTTATGCTAATGTCGGTAAACCTCGTGTGTTATACAGTTTGAAAATTAACTAATGAGAGTCACATTAACATGATAACCTACTATAATTATTTGGAAACGTCTGCGTATATGATATCCATTATTTAAAACACCGGTATAATTCCTGAAAGAGTTTGCGTATAATTCTTCCCTTAGGTATGCGCTATACCTCACACATTCACGTTCTGTTTATTTGGAGTAAATGTTCTTAGATGTTTTGCTGAATTGTCAATTTAGTCACTTTACTCCTAGCATAAAATCTTCAGATGTGGTATAGAGAGTTGCAGATTTCTCATGTAATGATCTCCTTCTGATAAACAAAGATGTATCTTCGTTGAGATGATAAAACCTCTTCACTACGCATTCTCTAACACATCCCATGTACTTACCCATATTTTTTTTCAGGTGAAAAGATAAACTTATCTTTACCTACCTATGGAAAGACAACTCACACGCGCTATTATTCTGAAAATACCCTGATCGCTTCATCATTCTATGCACTGTAACCAGGGTAACGTCATTAGTTTTGTCATAACTTCCATATGTATCTGATGATGGCGCACTGCATTAATTGTCTTGACTATTACAACTGGTTTTAACTGTAGGAAAGTGTGGGAGACAAAATAATCACTCACCCCTTGGTGGTGCAGACTGAGGAATCTTAACCATTGAGATAAGATTTTTGTATTTAAGCACCCTGCTAAGTCTCATGCTAAACTTAAATACTCATTCCCTCGGGTGGAGATTTCTCTGTTTATTATCCACAGAAGTGAAACATTTTAATATTCGTATTCACATAATTATATTGCCATACGCTGTAATAGAGCGTTAAACTATACAGTATGATATACAAATGCAACTCTTATGTAAAGTTATATACATGTCCACGTTATATTTTTGTTCAGATGTAACTAGTGTTATATGACCTTTTAAATGTGAAGTCACAAGAATTTCCATAAGACAAGTAAGTAAAGCTATTGGTTTCAGGATTGCGTCAATGAAGACGTGAAAATATTCATAGGAAAAGTTAACATTTTTGAAATATTTGAAGGATTTCTTTGAAATGTGATAACAAAATTATTCGTTTTCATATAATTTGCAATTTGTTAAACTCGTCCAAAATACAATTTTACTCGTCAAATGTATGATATGTTATTTCATATTTTGCTCGATGCATTTGTTTATTAAAGATTAAATATTTTTTGCCGTGTATTATTATTATTCATGTTTTGGGCGATTTTTTCTTTCTTTTCAAAGGTATATGAATTGAGCAAATGTTGACACTTTAAAAACATCGACGTTTCCAAACAACAGCTGTATATATAATTAAACCGATGCATATACAGCATAATGTGAGAAGGGTTGACATGCTTTCGTTCTAGTCTTCTGGGTATATATGGCTGTGTCCTGTTTAAAGCTTCGTTTTTAATGGAACTAAGAGTTAACTCCAACCTTCTGGATAACGTTTATATACACGTATGTATGGTAGTGTTGGTGTACGTCGGGCAGATTACGTTTATATACACGTATGTATGATAGTGTTGGTGTACGTCGGACAGATAACGTTTATATACACCTATGTATGGTAGTGTTGGTGTACGTCGGGCAGACAACGTTTATATACACGTATGTATGGTAGTGTTAATGTATGTCGGGCAGATAACGTTTATATACACGTATGTATTGTAGTGTTGGTGTATGTCGGGCAGATAACGTTTCTATACACGTATGTATGGTAGTGTTGGTGTACGTCGGTCAGACAACGTTTATATACACGTATGTATTGTAGGGTTAGTGTATGGCGGGCAGATACAGTAACGTTTATATACACGTATGTATGGAAGTGTTGGTGTATGTCGGGAAGATAACGTTTCTATACACGTATGTATGGTAGTGTTGGGGTACGTCGGGCAGATAACGTTTATATACACGTATGTATTGTAGTGTTGGTGTATGTCGGGCAGATAACGTTTCTATACACGTATGTATGATAGTGTTGGTGTACGTCGGGCAGATTACGTTTATATACACGTATGTATGGTAGGGTTAATGTATGTCGGGCAGATTACGTTTATATACACGTATGTATGATAGTGTTGGTGTACGTCGGGCAGATTACGTTTATATACACGTATGTATGGTAGTGTTGGAGTATGTCGGGCAGATAACGTTTATATACACGTATGTATTGTAGTGTTGGTGTATGTCGGGCAGATAACGTTTCTATACACGTATGTATGGTAGTGTTGGGGTACGTCGGGCAGATAACGTTTATATACACGTATGTATGGGAGTGTTGGTGTACGACGGACAGATAACGTTTATATACACGTATGTATGGTAGTGTTGATGGTAGTGTTGGTGTACGTCGGGCAGACAACGTTTCTATACACGTATGTATGGTAGTGTTGGTGTATGTCGGGCAGATAACGTTTCTATACACGTATGTATGATAGTGTTGGTGTACGTCGGACAGATCACGTTTATATACACGTATGTATGGTAGTGTTGGAGTATGTCGGGCAGATAACGTTTATATACACGTATGTATGATAGTGTTGGTGTACGTCGGACAGATCACGTTTATATACACGTATGTATGGTAGTGTTGGGGTACGTCGGGCAGATAAGGTTTATATACACGTATGTATGGTAGTGTTGGTGGATGTCGGGCAGATAACGTTTCTATACACGTATGTATGATAGTGTTGGTGTACGTCGGGCAGATTACGTTTATATACACGTATGTATGATAGTGTTGGTGTACGTCGGGCAGATTACGTTTATATACACGTATGTATGATAGTGTTGGTGTACGTCGGACAGATCACGTTTATATACACGTATGTATGGTAGTGTTGGAGTATGTCGGGCAGATAACGTTTATATACACGTATGTATGGTAGTGTTGGTGTACGTCGGGCAGACAACGTTTATATACACGTATGTATTGTAGTGTTAGTGTATGTCGGGCAGATACAGTAACGTTTATATACACGTATGTATGGTAGTGTTGGTGTATGTCGGGCAGATAACGTTTCTATACACCTATGTATGATAGTGTTGGTGTACGTCGGAAAGATAACGTTTATATACACGTATGTATGGTAGTGTTGGTGTACG